GCTAACTGCTTTCTGATTATCCAAGTCAAGTCTTTCTACTTTTTCAGTTGCCTGTTATCATCGTTTCTTTCACAACATTAGCAACTCTTGATGGCCTATTTGTTTTAAAATTGTGCTAATTGTCCATTTGCCAGCAACAGAAGCAAAACAAAAACATTCACAGCACAGTTCCCTGAGCTGTTAACAACCTGAGGTTAGCAGAAAACCGACTCAGACTGGCTCATTCTCTCCTTTGTTATCTGAAAGATGCTTTTTAAAAAAAATTTGATGTTATTTTATACATTACTATTTTTTTAGAATTATTCTTTTTTTTTTAATATATTTTTATTGATTTCAGAGAGGAAAGAAGTGGGTGAGAGAGATAGAAACATCAATGATGAGAATCACTGATCAGCTGCCTCCTGCACACCCCCTACTGGGGATCGAGCCTGAAACCTGGGCACGTGTCCTTGACCAGAATCAAACCTGGAACCTTTCGGTCCATAGGGCGACGTTCTATCCACTGAGCCAAACCAGCTAGGGCTGAGAGATGCTTTTTTGTCATGCTGATGGTTTCAGGTTGAGAAATGATGTTTGTTTTCCGAGAACAACTTGGTAGACATTGGAATTGTTTGAGATGCGAGAAGTTGGAGAACTGACTGTATTGTTTATTCTGGTGCTGTTTGGTTATTGTAGCAGAAATCTAGAAAACAATGTAAGTGTGCCTCAGTTGGGAGACATTGCTGTGTGTGCTTAAGAGTTGGAGAGGAGCCCCAACCAGTTTGGCTCAGTGGATAGAGCATCGGCCTTCGGTCTGGAAGGTTCCAGGATTGATTCCAGTCAAGGGCATTTACCTTGGTTGCGGGCACATACCCAGTAGAGAGTGTGCAGGAAGCAGCTGATCGATGTTTCTCTCTCATCGATTTTTCTAATTCTTTATCCCACTCCCTTTCTCTCTGTAAAAAATCAATAAAATACGCCAGGACCAGTTTGGCTCAGTGGATAAAGCGTCGGCCTGCTGACTGAAAGGTCCCTGGTTCGATTCCGGTCAAGGGCACGTACCTTGGTTGCAGGCACATCCCCAGTGGGGGGTGTGCAAGAGGCAGCTGATCGATGTTTCTCTCTCATCGGCGTTTCTAACTCTCTGTCCATCTCAATTCCTCTCTGTGTAAAATCAATAAAATATATTTTTTTAAATCAATAAAATACATTTAAAGAAGAAAAAAAAAAGAGTTGGAGAGGAGCTGCTCTGTTGTTGTATCCTAACTGCATCTCTCACATTTCATTCATTTTGAGCATGTGGGAGTTCTATTAATATTTTGCCCCAGTGGTAGAGAAAATGTGAAAAAACAAAACACACACACACACAAAGAAAAAACACAAGGCAAAGGCAAGGAAAGGGAGTTCAAACAGCAAGTGAAACATGATGTAGAGTTGGCTGGGGTTCAGTAGGTAGGGCTTCCCCCAACAAAAATGGCTTTATCAGTTCCTTTCTGCTTATTCCCTTTGTAATGATGAAGGTGCAATTTCCTATACCCTCCCCACTGAGGAAATCACTTGGCAGTTTAGTGTAAATCCTCTCAGACAGAAGACTTGCAGCTAGAGTCAGTCTATCATATACATCTTTAATACCAGGAAGAGCCCTAGTTAAGGACTGCAAGGTGTTCTTTTGAATGTATGATCTGTTTAATCACTTCTCCACTGAAGAACACTTAGGTGCTCTCCAGTTTTTCACTACTTAATGCACAGTTCCAATTCTTAGGATAGATTCCAGGAAAAATTGCTAAAAAGTTTTTACTTTTTTCTTCGTTTTTTGTTTATCCTTACCAGAGGTTATTTTTCCATTGATTTTTAGAGAGAGTGGAAGGAAAGGGGAGAGACAGAGAGATACATCAATTGATTACCTCCTCAAATATCCCAACCAATGCTGGGGTACCTGCAACCAAGGTACATGCCCTTGACCAGAATCAAACTCCGGCTTTTCAGTCCGTGGGTTGATGCTCTATCTACTGCGCCAAACTGGCTAGGGCCAAAAATTTTTACTTTTGATACATTCCATTAAACTGCTTTCCAAAAAATGTAAGTAAACAGTTTAGCCTCTTGTCAGCAGTGTAGAATTACACCCCAATTACATTTGGGTGTAAGTCTTCATCTGGGAATCCTATGGATTAAAAGGATGTAGATCACTTAAATATACTGTTTGACATTTGTATTCCAGTTCTCTGCTTATCAGGGCAGCTGGCTCTGTTCTGTTCTGGATTGCACATTTGGCTTTTGGTAGGTTTTTAAATATGTAAGCAAGTTAGATTTCTGTAATACAGCTGTAAGAATGTGTTTTTAATCACTTACATACAGTAAGTATGGTGTGGAAGAATGGAGCATTTCAGCAATGATAAAATCAGGCCATGGCTCACTCCATGCTTGGAGGATGGCCACACGCTTATACTCAAGGTACACTTACAAACCCACACAAGGTGGAGGTGTGCAGGGAGGGAGGGCCCTGCCATCTGGCAGGCGGGGGGGTCTTTTGGGACCCGGAGCAGCCTCTCCATCCCTGCCCCACCTGCTCCTATCCACAGCTCATGATGGAGCAGTCTAAGAAGTCCTCCCTCATGGTGGCCCGCAGCATCCTCAACAACAAGCTCATCAGCAAGAAGCTGGAGGACTACCTGAAGGTGAGGCGCGGGCGCCTGGAGCCTGGCTGCATCCCAGTCCCCCCTCCTTGTCTCCAGCCCTGGTCCCGCGAGCCCTTCTTCCTTTAGCATCTGTGCCTTTTTCACAGGGCGAGAACCCTTTCACCGACAGCCCTGAGGAGGAGAAGGAACAGGAGGAGGCCGAGGGCAGCGCTCTGGATGAGGGGCCTTTGATGGAAGTGGCAGGAGGCACGGAGGGTGCCGAGAGCACGCAGGCGCAGCCCCCTGTACCCCCGGAGCCGGCTCCTGGCACTACGTCGCCCCCACCGCCGCCGCCACCCCCCGAGGAAGACGAGGAGGCCATGCCCCTGCTCGGCGGGGCGCTGCAGCGCGAGATCCGTGGCATCCCCGGCCTGGACGTGGAGGACGACGACGAGGAGGGTGGCGGGGGGGCCCCGTGATCAGGGTCAGGGCTGGTCTGGACGCACGTAATTGAGGCTGGAAGCCGATCTTAATAAAGTTACTCCCATCCCGCCTCCAGGCTGGTCTGTGGGCAGCGCCGGCCGCAGGTGAAGGCGGGACCCGGTCAGGGAGGGGTGTGGGGGGTGCTTGCAGGCAAGACCTGGAGGGGTGGGGACAGGAGGGGCGGCGCCTGGGCACGGTGAGGCCCCGAGGCCCGACCAAAACTCCCAAGATGCTGCGCGCCGATGCCTACCAACCGCGAGGCCGGCTGGGGAGATGGGGGCGGGCTCACCGCGGGAGCTCGGCAATGGCATTGCGCGGAAGGGATTACGTAGGCGCTTGCTCTTCCAGTAGCGGGCGGCGGGAGGCACGTTGGGCGCATGCGTCCGTGGCAGCCTAGAAAAAGGGACTGCCGGCGGGCCGAGCCGGAGACATGGAGCAGGGCTACGGAGGTTCGTATGGCGGTGGGGGGCAGTGGAGGGAGGGTAGCGCTTTCCGGGAAGCCGCTGCTCAGAGGGCCGCGGGGTCAGGGACCACGCCGGAGTCCGGTTACCGCAGCCCGGTCGTGCGGAGAGGCGGGCTGGGCGCGCGCCCGCCGCTCATTGGGCTGCGGTGCCGTCGCTCCCGCGGCGTTACGTGCGGATTGGATGGCCGCGCCTGAGGAGGCGGGCGGAGTTCGGCGTCCTGACGCTGGGATGGGCTTCAGGGGGCGCCCTGGGCCGTCGGGTCGGTTTCTAACCCTTAGCCTCGGCGGGTCGGGCCGCCTTGCTCACCGCGCCCCTGCGCACCGGCCCGCCGACTTCCCCTTCGGAAGACGCCACAAAATGGCGGCGCCGGGGGGCGGAGCCACTGTCCGAGCTCGGGGGGCGCAGAGTTCTCTCCCCGGCGGTCCGGCCGGTCCCGGGGGCCGCGGGGCTCCGTGGGGGCCTCCGCGCGGCGCACGTGGCCAGGCGCTGTCCCGGGGCGGCGTGGGGTCTGAGTCTTCCCCGCCAGCTCCGCGGAGTAGCGCGGCCGGGCCGGGGGAGGCTCTGAGAGACGCAGCCTCGGGTTCGGCCGTGGATCTGCCTGACCCGCGCCGGCCCAGGACGGAACCGTGAGGGTCAGATGCTGGGTGTATCCTTGTGCAAAGCTGACGTGCCCGGGGTGGTGGCAGGGTGGCGGCTCTCCTCCAGGGAACCTCCTCCAGAGCTGTGTGAAAAGGACATGTGCCCTTCCCCATGTGGGGTGCAGGCCTGTAGCAGTCGGACCTTTTCCGGGACCTGCTCTTTACGTCCAGAACCAGTCTCCCGGGAAGCCTTTGCTCTGCACTGGAGCGAGTTTGCCCACGGGGAACAGTTGGACTTGCTCAGGCGCAGATCCCCATACAAGGATCTGAGGTTCGAGAAGCAGGTGACCGGATCTGGGAAGTGGCAGCTAGAGAAGACTTCTGTCTTGAAAGGTGGCAGCCTTCGCCGCAGGAATTGCAGCAGCAGAGGGTTTGTGAGGTGCATAGTGTCCGGAGTCCTCAGCCTGACTCTCCCACTCTTTTCTGCAGCCTGACTGGTTCTCATCGATATTTGTCTGCCTTCCTGCCAGATCTTCCAGCCAGTAATCCTGTATCATACGGCCCTTAGCTTGGTGTCTCTTCTCTCCCCCCCCCCCCCCCCACCTGCTAAAAGCCTTCCAGGCTCAGTTTAGATGCCGCAGCTCCCCCGCATCATCCTGTAGCTTTAATGCCTGGAGTTATTTCCTACGAATCACTGAGCCTTGACAGCGCTCCCTGACCCGTTTCCCAGCTCTTTGGTCTTGGGCAAGTGCCTTAGCTTCTCAAGCCTTTACAACAGGAAACATAGTCCCTATCTCAAGGGGAGTCATGAAGTGATGTGAGTAGCAGACGCCATTTGGTTATACTGGTGCCCCAGAGGGTCAGCGCCTGCAGTGCTGTGAGAACCGGCACTCTGCAGTTCTCTGTGCAGATAGGGAAGTTGCACGGTGTGGGTGGAGGGTGCCTTGCAGAGGGCAAACCTCAGTGTGACTTTGGGTCAGATACTCTAACGAGAGCCTCAGCTCCCTGTCCTCTGAATGGCCTCTGTGAAGCCGGCTAACGCATGCTCAGTGCCTGTTGTGTGTCGGCTCACCGTAGGCAGTCAGCTAGTGGTTTGGGGTGCTCAGGTAAGGGAAATCAGATGCTTTCTTGCTTTATAAAGGTGAAGTCATCTGACAGGTGTAAACAGCTGCCTGTGGCCAGCTCTGTGCCGCGTGCAGGCTTTTGGAGGTGAAGAGGGGCCAGACAGATGCCATATTGGGGTCTGGAAGGACAGAGGAGCGACCACAGAGGGGGGCACAGTCTGATCCTTGGGGCCAGGATGAAGCCCTGGGACTTGAAGGGGCTCCAGACCATCGGAGGATTCAAAGCCATAGGGAAGCGAGACCTAGAGTGGCACAGTTGTGTGTGCTTAGTTGGTGAGCCAGGGAGGGGAACGGAGCTGTGTCCTAATGATGGGCTAGCTGGTGGCTCTTCCTGTGTCATCCTCAGTGGTGGGGTGAGGCTTAGGCCAAGGTTCCTCGGTAGTGACAGGCAGAACTGGCTCAAGGCCCACTCCCCACCCCTCTTTTTTCTGCTTTGACCTCTGGCAGGTTGAGTGTGGTGATGCAATCAGCCAGTTGTGAGAGGGACTTGAGGGAGGCAGTGTTGTGGTTATGCTGCCCTCTTGTAAGGCTGGTGCTGAACTCCTTTGAGGATATCCCGTTAGGTTCCCAGAGCCACCTCCAAGGCACCTGTTGCTGGTGTGACACACAGGATCCTAATTCATCGGTCTTCTGTTCACAGGCTATGGGGCCTGGAGTGCCGGACCCACCAACACCCAGGGTAGGTGGAAACTGCTTTGTGGCAGGCATGGGCCCCGCGGACCCCCACCACCCAAGACACCAGAGGGACAGTTGTTCCTGAGTCTGCACCGGGAGACGGGGGCCAGGAAACCTTTTCGGAACAGGGCCAGACAGTACATGTTTTCGGCTTTGCAGGCTCCATGATCTCTGTAGTAGCGAAGACACCAAAGACAAATAGGCACATCGGTTCCAATATTTACTGAAGGATACTGACACTTGCATACCATATAACTTTTCATGTATCACAAAATAGTCCATTTCAGCAATCTGTTCTTTTAATCTAAGTAAATAGCTGAGTGTATAATCAAAGTCTTTTTTATTTTTTATTAATCCTCACTGGAGGAGTGAAGAAAGAGAAACATCAATTAGTTATGTGCTCTGACAGGATGGAACCTGAGACCCTCCGGTGCACAGGCCGTGTTCTAACCACTGAGCAAACTACCCAAGGCTATCAAATACTTTAAATTAATGGACTTTATTTCTTAATATATTTTTATTGATTTCAGAGAGGAAGAAAGATAGAAACATCAGTGAGAGAGAAACATCATTGATTGGCTGCCTCCTGCACGCTCCCTATTGGGGATCAAGCCTGCATGTGTCCCAGCTGGGAATTGAACCTGTAACCTCTTGGTTCACAGGTCAATGCTCAACTAACTACTGAGCCATGCCAACTGGGCTGGACTTTATTTCTTAGTAGTTTTAGATTTGTAAGATTAAATAGATAGTATGTAGAGTTTCATAAACTCAGCCTTACTTCACCTTTACACAGAAATCCCTATTAGCATCTTCCATTAGCAGGATACATTTATTACAATTAAAAAGCCAATGTTAAGACAGTGTTATTAACTACTAGAGCCCCGGTGCATGAAATTTGTGCATGGGGTGGGGAAGGTGTGTCCCTCAGCCCAGCCTCCACCCTCTCCAGTCTGGGACCCCTTGAGGGATGTCCAACTGCCCGTTTAAGCCCGATCAAGGTAGGACCGGGCTTAAACAGGCAGTCGGACATCTCTCTCACAATCCAGGACTGCTGGCTCCCAACTGCTTGCCTGCCTGTCCTCCTGATTGCTCCTAATCGCTTCTGCCTGCCAGCCTGATCACTCCCTAACCACTTCCCTGCCAACCTGATTGATGCCTGACTGCTCCCCTGTCAGCATGATTGCCCATAACTGCCCTCCCCTGCAGGCCTGGTTACCCTTAACAGCCTTCCCCTGCAGGTCTAGTCCCCCCCCAGCTGCCCTCTGCAGGCTTGGTCCCCCCCCTCCCCCAGCTGTTCTCTGTAGGCCTCATCGCCTCCAACTTCCCTCTGCCAGCCTGGTCACCCCTAACTGCCCTCCCCTGCAGGCCTGGTCCCTCCCAACTGCCCTCCCCTGATGGCCATCTTATGGTGGCCATCTTGTGTATTGAAGTGATGGTCTATCTACATATTACTCTTTTATTAGATAGGATAGAGGCCTGGTGCACGGGTGGGGGGTGGCTGGTTTTCCCTGAAGGTATCCCAGATTAGGGTGAGGGTTCCCTTGGGGCATAGGGTGGCCTAGGCGAGGGGCCTGTGATGGTTTGCAGGCCAGCCACTCCCCCTGGCGACCCAAGTGGAGCCCCTGGTATCTGAAATTTATTTATCTTCTATAATTGAAACTTTGTAGCCTTCAGCGGAGGCCAGGGCTGGTGGAAAGCTTGGCTTCCTCCATTGTCAGGGGAACCCAAACCTGCTCTGTGGACACAGCCATTTTTGTTGGGATTTATTTATCTTCTATAATTGTAACTTCATAGCCTTGAGTGGAGTCCAGGCCTGCCAGGGTGTGCAGGAAGCTTGACTTCCTCCATTGCCTGGGAAATCCAAGCTTCCTGCTCGCTCTGTGGCTGCAGCCATCTTGGTTGAGTTAATTTGCCTGGTCACTCCTGATTGGCTGGTGGGCGTGGCAGAGGTACAGTCAATTTGTGTATTACTCTTCTTAGGGTAATCTGTACTTACGTTAACATTGCTCTATAGAATATAGTTCTATGGGTTTTGACAAGTGTATAAATGATGTGCATCAATCACATCAGCAATATTTTGATTTTTTTTCTTCCTCAATCATTTAAAAATGTGGGTGGCTATACAGCAACTGGCAGTGGGCTAGGTTTGGCCTGGAGCCTGTTGGCTAAACACTGCTCTGCAGTCCAGGTCATGGCACAAAGTACATTTGAGGGACCAAAACGTGCTCTGTGAGCTTTTTGCGGCATTGCCCAGGGATTTGGACGGTGGCATCCTTTGTTTTCTGAGCCTGGGGTTTGCCCCTAGTACTGTTGTGGGGGGAGGGTCACTTCTCTACCATCACCAAGTGTCCCAGAAAGAGGCCTTCCATGTCACTCAGGCACATAACGTCCTTTGCTCAGTTGAGTTAGGGACATGATTTTCCACTGGTGCACTCTCCATATTTAAGCCCGAGCTCGGGCTTCTAGTGAGTGCTGGCACTTCAGAAGGGCTCTGCTGGGGACCTGGCCCACTGGCTTCTTGGCTGGCGGCCACACTGGCTGAGCTTCTTGAGAAGGCTGCAGCGTCCTTTCCATTGCCTTGATGTGGGAGACCGGGCTTGCCTAGGAGGGAAGCCCTGACTATGCGTAGCTGAGTGCTCTGGAAGAAATGAGTTTTATAGTTAGCGGCCCTCCCTATCCTTTCCTGGCCTTAGTAGGCAACCAAAGGTGCCTCCAGAGTGCTGCCTCAGCCACCTGCAGCCTGGCCTTGTGGATAGGGGAGCGAGGTGACAACTGTCCAATATCTTGGGTGTGGATGGTCTTAGAAGTCTTTGTTCTGCAAGCAAAGCTCTTGTGTGTTCTTGTTTTCTCTAAGGTGCATATGGAACTGGTGTGGCCAGCTGGCAAGGTAGGCCCTTCTGGGGGTCAGGGGGTGGACACGAGGATGCAGGGACTCCCATCTCCCTTCCTACCTGCCTGAAGGCTTGCATGCTGGGCCTGTGGTGCTGAGGAGGCCTCGAGGGGAACTTGCAGGCGATGAGGGGATCGTGGTTGCCTTCGGGGAGCAATGTCTCTGGTGGATCTATCAACAGCCCAACTGCCACTTCTGGGCTCTCAGCTACCTCTGGCTTTGGATGGGAAGCAAGTCTTAGGATCTGACACCAAAAACCTGCTCAGAACTGAGGTCTCGCCTCTGCCCCCCTGTGCCTCTGAGCTGTACAGAGGCAGTGTGGTGCGCAGTGTGGGTGCTGCAGGCGGCATTGGTCCCACGGCCCTCGTCCTTCCCTGACGGCAGTGGGCACTCCTCTGCAGACACATCCGCCCTGTGCTGGCTTTGTGGCGGCTGAGGTCTGACTTGCCTCTCCTTCCCTTTGGCAGGTTATGAAAACTACAATTATTATGGTGCCCAGAACACCAGCGTCACCACCCCAGCAACCTACAGCTACGGCCCAGCCTCCTGGGAAGCCACCAAGGCTGGCGATGGCCTGGCGCCTGGGGGTCCTGCCATGCATATGGCTTCCTACGGCCCAGAGCCATGCACCGACAATTCTGACTCACTCATTGCCAAGATCAACCAACGTCTAGACATGATGTCCAAGGAAGGAGGCAGGGGTGGGAGCAGCACCGGTGGGGAGGGCATGCAGGACCGGGAGAGGTAATTACAGACCCGAGCCCTTCCCTGGGGATCCAGACATCACGCTTTCCAGGGAGTGGGCACCCGCTCTTCCCGGATGCTCTTCCCCAGCTCCCTCCGGGCGTGGGTAGAGGAGATGGGCCTTTGTTGGGATAGAGCATTGCAGTTGGACTTGCTGGTTTCCTCATTGGTGGGTTTCGGGCATGGCTGTGGTTAAACTGTGTCAGACTCCTGATTGCTGCACCAGGGCTTAACAGCCTCCCTGTTCTTGTGGCCAGTGGCTTGTGCCCACATTCATTGTGTTTGGAGGGGAGTATTGGTCTGTTTCGCCTCCACGCATTTAGGAGGGGCCCCGTGGTGGTTTGGTTTGCTTTGCTTTCTGTTCTGAGTGTAGGGAGGTCAGCTTTGCAGGAGGTGTAGAGATCGAACCCAGGCATGTAGTCATGGTTGTGCTTTCTTTGCAGTTCCTTCCGCTTCCAGTCATTTGACTCCTACGACTCCAGGCCTTGTCTGCCTGAGCACAATCCCTACCGTCCCAGCTATAGCTACAACTATGACTTTGACCTGGGACCTGACCGCAATGGTGGCTTTGGCAGTCAGTACAGTGACTGTCGGGACCCTGCCCGTGAGCCCCGCTCCCTCGATGGCTTCATGCGGGGCCGGGATCAGGGCCGCTTTCAGGATCGGAGCAACGCTGGCACCTATATGCGCAGTGACCCCTTCATGACATCAGCGGCCTCCTCCCAACCGCTGTCTGCTCCCTGGACAGAGCTCAACTATGTGGGTGGACGGGGCCTGGGAGGCCCCTCTCCCAGCAGGCCCCCACCTTCCCTCTTCTCCCAGTCTATGGCCCCCCAGTCCATGGCCCCCAACTACGGAGTGATGGGCATGCAGGGGGCTGGAGGTTATGAAAACTCTGTGCCCTACCGATGTGGCCAGTCACAGACCCGGATGAGGGATCGGGTAAGCCCTTGCAAAGTTATAACCTGCCTTCCTTGCTTTTCTTTCAAACAGCTTTGTTGAGGTAAAATTTAGAAATTTTGTAGGATTCATTCATTTTTACGTGTATAATTTGACTTTTAGTAAAAATGTATAGACTTGTGCAACCTTCACAACCATCTAAATTTTAGAACATTTCTGTCAAGCCAGAAAGAAACTTCTGTCATTAGCAGTCACTCCATATTTCCTCCCCCAGTTCCTGGCAACCACTAACCTTTCTGTGCGTGGATTTGCCTATTTTGGACGTAACACATGACTACAATTAGTGTCCCTTTGTGTTTAGCTTTTTACATTCAGCATAACTGTTGTCGGGGGTTAAATGATGGGTCCTCTTTGCCTTCTGAAAAGACCTTGTCTGTCCATGTTCTCTAGTCTTCTACCTCTTCCTTCCCCTGGGGTATCCTAAGGGCCCGGGTAGTGGTACATCAGGATGTGCTTGTGTCTGTAGCCCAGGTGGAGAGGCTTTGACCGCTGCGGCCCAGATGGCATGGGCAGGAAACGGAAGCAGTTTCAAGGCTATGACGAGCCGGATGCCAAACAGGCCCGGGCTGACAGCGAAGGAGATTTTTCCGAGAATGGTATGCCCTGGGGGGGATGCAGTGAGTTCTCGGTGGGTGTGAGTCAGTTGCATGCTTAGTGCCCTTGCCTGCCTGTCCATACAGTGGACACCCAGGGGCTCCGGGGTGCTGTGTGTCACCCAAACTCCCACAGCCCCCACTCAGGATAAGCTTCAACGTTCCGGACAGTGAGCTTGGGCGGGTGAAACTGGGCCACCGCTGAGGGGCTAACTTTTCCAATTACTTCTGTGTCTGTAGACGATGGAGCTGGTGACTTCCGGTCAGGAGATGAAGAATTCAAGGGTGTAAGTCCACCGTCACTGGTCAGTCAGCCTCCTTTGTCTCTAGTGCAGGGTTTCTTCCTTATTTTAGCTTCTTCCTCACAGAGACAGGTCCTGCTGCTATCATAGACTCACAGCTAGCGTTCCACCTGAAACAGTCCTTGCCCTCCTGAAAACATTTCCCAGTCTTCCCCACCCCATCCCCCAGCCGCTCCTGTGTCCCTAAGTAATGTGCCTACACAGTAAGTGCAGTGGCTGTGCAGGCTGAGGCTTCCAAACATGCACTGAAGACTTGCCAGCGTCACACTGGTGCTGAGCTGATCCATGTCATTTAGTCCTTTTCACTGGTTGTGGCAGACAGGTGAAAGGTCGGCTATTAGCCAGGCCCGTGCAGGAGGGCCTGGCACGTGAACCTTTGCCACTCACTCCCTGTAAATTCTGATCCAGTTCTAGGGTAGGGCTTTGTACAGATGCATCAAATGGTCAGGCCGGTTGGTGGAAGATAGGAGAAGTTGGGTACAGTGAGTTCTCAGCATTTCTGAGGGACTTGCTCGCCCTATGTTTTGCTTCAGTTTTTGTTTTTTTTTGTTTTGTTTTTTTCAATATATTTTATTGATTTTTTACAGAGAGGAAGAGAGAGGGATAGAGAGTTAGAAACATCAATTAGAGAGAATCATCGATCAGCTGCCTCTTGCACACCCCCTACTGGGGATGTGCCCGCAACCAAGGTACATGCCCTTGACCGGAATCGAACCTGGGACCTTTTAGTCCGCAGGCCCACGCTCTATCCACTGAGCCAAACTGGTTTCGGTTTGCTTCAGTCTTGAGTCTAGGAATCATTGTGTACTTGCTGATTAGTAATTTAATCTTTGGCTTGATGGCTACAAAATGGACCGCCTTTCCATTTTCAGTTAGATGGTCATTTTTATCCACACCTAATTTTTTACAGCCTTTGTTACATACAAAATGCCTGGGAAACTTGGTAAAACCCATTTTCAATAAAGAGCGCTAGAAGTAGCATCCTACAAGTCAGGGTTTCCTGACGTACAATTTATGAATGGGCTCCTGGCATTCCCACGTGCAGAGCTGTGCAGGTGTGCATTGCCAGAGGCCGTTCTTTAGCTTTAGAAAGAGCTGAAAGGTCAGTGTCTTGAATAAAAAAGCAAAAGGGGTTAGTCATCACAGAATCCCAGTAGTGACAGGATGCACTCGGGCTCTCTTAGCCCTGGACCTCATCCTGACATCTTGGGTTCCTGGTGACATAGCAACCACCAGTAGTGGCAAGGGGAGCTAGGCTGGTGTGGAGAGTTCTGGAAACCACCTCACTGCCCGACTTGGTGTGTGTCCTTTTTCAGGAGGACGAATTCTTGGATCCCGGGAGGCAGAGAGGTAGGTATTGCCCATTGAACTTCACTGTCTGCCCAGCTGCCCTGCACTCACTGCCCAGCTCTCAGCTGAGCGGGGTTTCTGAGCAAGCCGTGGGCCTGGATGGAGGGGGTGATGGCTCAGGGCAGGAGAGGGGCTGTGATTACTGCGGGAGCTTTGGCCATAGCACTCACCCCAAGGCTTTGCTCCATTGTAAATGCAGGTTATGGAGAGGGAGGGGGAAGCTCATCTGGGGGCGGGTATCTACAGCAGCTTGAGGGGTAGTGAAGGGAGTCTCAGAAATGTGAGAGAAAAGGTGCCCTCCAGCTGTGTTCTTAGGGGAGTCATCTCCACGGTTCCTTCGATTGCCAGCCCAGGGCCATGGAGCTGCCTCAGCATTAATGGTGGGATTGCTGGCGGCTGCAGTCACATTGCTGCATGGGACAGAGTTTGGACACCTGCCTGGATTGGGAGCTTGGGGCAGGGGGGAGTCTATCAGATACACCCAGACAGACACCCTAGAGGCAGCCATTGCTCACTGCTCAGCAGGTCCCGTCAGCTCCAGTGCCAGGGACAAGGGTAAAAATTTAGTGGCAAAAGCAAAGCCAAATTAAACCTCTTGGTCTAAGCCAGGGGTGTGGAGGGGGCATGGAGAAGCAGCCTGGGACATGGTGGCCTTGAGCTTACCCAGAAGCCACTTTTCCTGTTCCCTTGGGTCTTGTTCGTAGCTGGTTTTCCCCAAGAATCAGAGGCGGCTGCTGCTCCCGTCGATTCTGAAGGCCCTGGCTTAGCTACGTCTTCCCTTGTGTGTGCAGGTTTAGCCAACCCTCTGAGGTCTTCTCACTGCTTGTTTATTGAAGCGGTCATGTTTGTAGCATGGGGACACACAACATTGAGCAGCTCGTGCAGCGGGGAAAATGCTAAAGCAAAGGTGACATGTTTATTGCGTGCAGGTCCTGCTACCTACTCTGGATGACTTTGCTATTAAACAGCAGTAATAGTTTCAGGCAGTGACCTCTTGCCAAAAATCCCACACGCCCTTTTGAGAGGCTTCTGAGCAGCGCACGCCGGTCGCCATCTTCGTGGGACAGTCTCGTGACTGGCATCAGGGGTAGGGGTTACAGTTCAGATGCTTATCCAACTTTTTTTCAGTGTCTGGCCCTGCTTTGAGCCACGGTGACCTGAACCTGGCCTCACGCTGGGACACTGGGCTGGCCCCAGGAGATGGATGGAGGACCGATAAGTCTCTTCCTACTTCTCTTTCTAGGATTGCTTCCCACATAGTCGTGGGAAAGCCCTAGGCTGACAGTTTTCATGAGTGGAAGATAGAGTTCGGGCCAGCAAGGACTGACAGACCTGCTGCGGCCCTAGTTCAGAGGAGGCCTACGGGATGGTTGTCAGGGCCCACCTAGAGGTGGGCAGAGGGAGGTAGAACAGCTGTATTTTCTGAGGCCTCTAGCTGCTGCCTCTTTACCCAGGAAGAACTACTCTCTTAACTGATGTTGGGAGAACCCACTCATAAGGCACTGGATTGGAAACGCAGGATAGGGGAGAACAGAGATCAGGTGGGCCTCAGTGTGAGTGGGATGGGTGGGCCGTGTCCCTGGCCCATCCCAGCCTTACCAGGCCATGGGGGGAGTGAGGTATCTCCCCTGGGAACGCCCCAGGGTTCTCATCCAAGCTCATACTTGGAGCTTTTGACAGAGCCTTGGTGCCTGAGGGTGTCCTGACTCTGCCGTGTGTGGAGGCAGCAGCAGGGCACAGGGTGCAGTGGCCGAGCCGCAGCCCCATCAAGGCCCTGGTGCTTAGCTCTTCGGTGCGCTCTCAGAGGGTCTTGAAGGGATTTCTCTGTTGCAGAGAAGGATGACGAGGATGATGAGATGAAGAAGAGGAAGGAGAAACAAAGGAGAAGAGACAGGCTGCGAGACCGGGCAGCTGACAGGTGAGGTGGCAGGTCAGCTGGACCTGGCTCTCCTAGCTCATCTGTTACTCCTTGATGCAGGCGGAGCCTGGTTTGAGCTAGCTCCAGGTGTCTGTGGGAAGTCCTAGTCACAGTGGTGGGAGACAAAACTTGAGAAACATGAATGGAATCATATTCTTGCCAGAGATCCGTCCCTAGGGCCCTCATGTGCCCAGCCAGACGCCTGTTGCCCTCTAACATGCCTTTGGGGAGTTTCCTTGCCCCCTGGCCTGTGTCTGTCATCCCAAACAGTGGTCTTCAACAAGCAGGGCTGCGAAAGAGGTGATCTGTGCGTTGTCCAAATCCAGACTCCAATCTGGAGTTAGATTTACCAATTGTACGTGTATTTATGTTACCTTTAAATAGAAAAAGCACAAAAGCGCACAGCCAGCGTGTTGGTGTGACCACACAGTGCACTTCTCCCCTGTTGAGTGGTTATGTGGCTGCTGACTAGAGAAGTAAACCACTGGTGGCCATGGCCATGGGAGCCCTTGGTTACCAAGGTCTCAACCACCCATGGCTGCTGCTCTGCACAGGTCCTCTTAATGACCTGAGAGGGGACTCCTTGCTCGTAAGGCTCACCTGGGGTAGTGATTTTCCTGTGCAAAGAACACTCCCAAAGGGATAACAGAAACAGGAATTGAAATGTAGGAGCTTACAGGTGTTAAAAGAATTCATCACAACCCTTGTAAAGTCCTAGCTTGTTTGCACAGAGGGTAGAGCATCGGCCCTTAGACTGGAGGGTCCTGGGCTCAGTTCTGGGCAAGGGCATGTACCTTAGTTGCAGACTCCATCCTGGCCCTGGTCAAGGCAACCAATCAACGTGTGTCTCACGTTGATGTTTCTGTCTCTATATCTCTCCTTTCCCTTCCACTCTCTCTAAAAATAAAAACAGCCGAAACCGGTTTGGCTCAGTGGATAGAGCGTCGGCCTGCGGACAGAAGGGTCCCAGGTTCGATTCCGGTCAAGGGCATGTACCTTGGTTGTGGGCACATCCCCAGTTGAAAGTGTGCAAGAGGCAGCTGATGGATGTTTCTAACTCTCTTTCCCTCTCTCCCTCTCTGTAAAAAAATCAATAAAATATATTTTTTAAAATAAAAAAAATAGATGAATAAATAAATGATTGCTAGATTTGATCTATTTACATGTCACATGAGAACTTGGATGACATTTTTTAAAAAGAATCTTTAAATCTTGCCCTAGTGACGGTTCTCAGAGCAGTTATCAGTTGATGGAGCAGTTATTGCAGAGGAGGTGGAGGTACAGCCAGGAAACATATTTCTTTCTAATAGTTCTGCACATAGAGCCTGGGTGATTTTTCCCCTCTTCATTCCTGTGTTCTGGTATCTACAAAAGCTTGTGGCACTTGCCTAGAGGTCCAAGCCAGGCGTTAGAGGCCTGCAGAATCTGGCGTGGAGAGGCGTTCTGAGTGCCACGTGGCCTGTGTGTTTACCCCAAAAGATCCAGAGGCTCTTGGGCAAAGCCAAGGGAAGCAGCACTCCACTGGGTGTGTGTGTGTGTGTGTGTGTGTGTGTGTGTGTGTGTGTGCAGGTCTGCAGGCCACTCTCTCATCACCTTACAGCATGATTGCATTTGTGAGACTTTGAAAGCACTGGACAAAGAAACCTTAGTTTTTATTCGTGAATTTGACATACCGTGCCTTTATGTTGAATCCTGTTGATCTAATATTTCTCAGATCATGTCAAGTTTTTGGTGTTTTTTTTTAATCCTCACTTGAGAATGACGTGCTTAGAGGAAGGGAGAGACATCGATGTGAGAGGGAAACATTGATTGGTTGCCTTCCGCACATGCTCTGACTAGGAATCAAACCTGAAACCCAGGTACATCCTCTGACCTGGAATTGAACCAGCTACCTAAAATTGAGTTGCTCAAAAAGACTGGTATGGTAGTAAATTGCTATATGGATCATTTTCCTGAATACTTTCAAGATTGTACTCCCAATCCGTGAAACTGCTATCCTTTTTTTTTTAACTGTTTTATATATACATATACATATAAATTTATTATTTCAGAGAGGAAGAGATAGGGGGAGAGAGAGAGAGAGACACATCAGTGATGAGAGGAAATCACTGATCAGCCACCTCCTGTGTGGCTCTGACTGGGAATCAAACTGTGACCTAGTTCATAGGTCAACACTCAACCACTAACCACTGAACCACACCAGCTGGGCAGGAAACTGCTATTCTTGACTCCCCATGAGAAGTCCTGAGTTTTGGTTCAGAGACTGCTTTCCCATTTTTGTTTTAGTTCGAAACACAGAAGAACTGGTTATTCCTGCATCACTGTTTTTGCTTTTTGTCCTTCTCCAGGATTCAGTTTGCCTGTTCCGTGTGCAAGTTTCGGAGCTTTGAAGATGAAGAAATCCAGAAGCATCTGCAAAGCAAATTTCACAAAGAGACACTACGGTTTATAAGTACCAAACTGCCTGACAAGACGGTGGAATTCCTTCAGGTGATGCGCACTTGGCCCCTCTCACAGGGGTCCTACAGGTGTCAGATCCCTCACAAGGGAAGGAAAGGGAAATAAGGTCTAAACTTGGTGAAGATTTCTATTTCCAAAGAACAGTTGGTCTAGTCCCCATGTCAGGAATAACAGCTCCAACCATTGTAGTTCCCATTAGTTCTGCCCACAGGGCTGCCCTGACTGTCACCCGGTAGGGGCTTGGCTAACACTCATGGTGAGCTGCCTCTGATGCAGTTGAGAAATACCCACATGTGCTGTCCTCTGCTGATTTCATTGGGTGCTGTGTCTCAACCCCTTTAGGAATACATTGTAAACAGGAATAAGAAGATTGAGAAGCGACGTCAGGAACTGATGGAGAAGGAAAGCGCAAAACCAAAACCAGATCCTTTCAAAGGTGAGTTGTGGTCCTAGGGGTGTGCTGTGCTGCATTGGGCACTAAGGCACATGATTCTGTGCAAACCAGCACAGGGCCGAGGGTGTGAATGTGAAGACCCCAAGGCTGATGGTGCCTCTCAGGTTCTGTCCTATCGGAATCCCTGAGGGCTGCAGGGAGGAATTGTGGGCCTTGTTGGGGGAGGGGGCATTACATGCATGCTGCCCCAGATCCCACGTGACTTGGTTTCATCAACAGGGATTGGCCAAGAGCACTTCTTCAAGAAGATCGAGGCTGCTCACTGCCTGGCCTGCGACATGCTGATCCCTGCGCAGCACCAGCTCCTCCAGCGGCACCTGCACTCGGTGGATCACAATCACAACCGCCGGGTGAGTCCCCTCCCGGTGCTGCCTGAGGGGCGATCTTTCCCTCCCCTCCTTTCAGAGCCTCTGTGTCTTATGAGGAAGCTAACGTCTTCAGGGGCTCTTGCCACATCCTTACTAGCTTATGGGGCCTGAGGCTAAAAATTCAGTTCGGGTCAGCAATTTTTCTGTAAATGGTCAAATTGTAAATATTTTCAGCTTTGCAGGCCATATGGTCTCTGTCCAACAAGTCTGCTTTTGGCAGGCAAAAGCAGCCACAGATAGTAAGTGAAAGAATGGGTTTGGCTGCTCTTGGCCCTCTGGCTGTAGCTTGCTGATCCCCGAGTTAACATCTCTGTTCTTAGTTTACCCAATGATGAAATGGAGCTCTCAGTACCTGCCTGCCCCTCTCCCCATTTTTTGTTTGTGTCCTTTTTTTATTTTTAGAGAGAAAGAGGAAGGCGTGGGTGGGGGAAGGAGAGAAATGGTGATTTGTTGTTCTATTTATTTATGCATTCGTTGGTTGCTTCTTATAGCACAACCTCAGCATATCAGGATGGTGCTCTAACCAGCCGGCCGGCCCGGCCTGGGCTCCCCATGTCCCAGTTCCGTTAAAGAGCAGCCAAAAGCACTCTATAGACAAGTGATTACTGGATGTGTGTCAAGCTGTTTTTGAGCTTTCACAGTTTTGCTGTTGAACTTATTATAAAGTCAGTACAACTCAAAACTGAAAAGAGAAAGCTTACTCCTTTCCCTACTTAGTTTACAAAGCTTCTGATCTGTAAATGAACAACTTGAGGTAGCCTGGCTGGTGTGTTCTCCTGCTCCTGTATATCGCCATTTTAAAAAAACTAAGTGTGGTTCCCTTTGCAGTTGGCTGCTGAACAGTTCAAGAAAACAAGTCTCCATGTGGCTAAGAGTGTTTTGAACAACAGACATATAGTGAAGATGCTGGAAAAATACCTCAAGGTTAGGAGTCCAATGGATGGGGAAAGCTCTCTAAATGGAGAATGAACTAGGAGTGTGGAACTGTATCTCCAGTGCAGTGCTTAGCATTTCTGAGTGTTTTGATGAATTGAGGGATATTGGAATGGATTAGGCTTGGGAATTCCACAACTGGATTTCCCAAGACAGAGTGCTTGCTTGGGAACTCTGGGGTGTGGTTCTGCCTGATTAATCTGTACAATTGTGTTGATTCTCTCCATGAGAAACATTGACTGTCTATAAAATACTGAGCAAATGATAGTGAGATGCTTAAAAAGAAACATATCCAAGGTAGGTAGTTGTCCAAGAAAGAAGCTAAAATGAGGTTTTGCTGGAAGATCCAACTGACAATAAAATGGGGGATCAAGGCACAGGGAAGAGCCAGAAGTGCCTCAGCCGCAGCCACAGTGTCAGGAGCAGAGTAACGGAAAGTCCCAGAGAAGGGCGCCTGGGGGGGAAGTTGGAAGAGCCTCACCTGGCTCCTCCTCGGGAAGCCACGTGCTAAAGGCTCAGTCCATGACTTTAACGTCCAAGGCTGGTGGCTAAGCTGCAGCATAGCCTGGCTAGGACTTGTTTGCCCTCCTCTCAGTTATTAAATGGTTCAGTACCGAAGGGATGGGGGTTCGATTCCCTGTCAAGGGCATGTACCTGGGTTGTTCCCCACCCTGGGTCTGGGTGCCTGCGGACGGCAGCCAGTCGATGTGTTTCTCTCACATTGATGTTTTTCCTTTCCTTCTCCCCCCCTCCTCCTCTCCCTTTCCCCTCTTCCTTTTTCCCCTGTCCCTCTTTTTTTCTCCCTCCTTCCCTTCAATTCTGAAAGCAATGGAAAAAATATCCTCAGGTGAGGCTTAACCAAAAGGAAAATAGTACAAAAGAGTTCTAGTGAAGCTTTTCAGAGATGTCTTTTCTGAATCTATAGGCTCTGGGATCCTTTAGGATTAACTCACCTGGTATAGTTTAAAGTATTTCTCTTGCCCTGACCAATGTGGCTCAGTTGGATGGAGCATCGTCCCATGCACTGGAAAGTCATAGGTTCAATTACTGGTTAGGGCACATGCCTAAGTTACGGCTCAGATCACCAGTAGGGGCGCATATGGGAGGCAGGCAATCAGTGTAGCTCTCTCACATGAATGTTTCTCTGTCTCCCTCTCTAAAAATCAATAAACGAATAATGTATCTCTTGTTGATTGCTCATCATGAAAATTCGAGCTTCCACCCAGCAACCTGGGTCTCCTTCCACTCATGTGTACAGTCTTTAGACCACTGACCTGTTTCTTCTTGGCCAGGGTGAAGACCCTTTCACCAATGAAGCCGTTGATCCAGAAATCGAAGGAGTTGACAATTTAGGAGGCGATGATAAGGAAGAGACACCTGAGGAGGTGGCCGCAGAAGTGTTAGCTGAAGTGATCACAGCAGCGGTGAAGGCAGTAGAAGGGGAAGGAGTGCCCACTCCAGAAAGTATTGAAATGCCGGCTGAAGAGGAAAGCCCCAGGGACAGCACAGGGGCCACCAGTGGTCCCCATCCTGAACAGCCGCCAGAAGCAGACACTCACTGTGGAATGGCATCTGGGAAGGGGGACGCGGACGCAGAGGCCGGAAGTGGAGGTGCCCAGGCTGGGAGCCCGGACGCAGAGGCCGGAAGTGGAGGTGCCCAGGCTGGGAGCCCAGATGCAGAGGCCGGAAGTGGAGGTGCCCAGGCTGGGAGCCCAGACGCAGAGGCCGGAAGTGGAGGTGCCCAGGCTGGGAGCCCGGACGCAGAGGCTGGAAGTGGAGGTGCCCAGGCTGGGAGCCCGGACGCAGAGGCCGGAAGTGGAGGTGCCCAGGCTGGGAATAAGGTTGCAGAGGCGGAAGGTGAAACAGAGGCAGAAGGCACTGTAACAGTCCCTGTTCCTGCTCCAGCTGCCACAGAAGCTGCAGTGGACCAAACTGACGCAGAGTCCAAAGACGTCACTCCCACAGAATGAGCCTCCTTTCCCTGTTTCAAGGGATGTGTTATATGATGCATTGATCTTTGGTTTGTAAGTAGTACTAGGGTGTGTGTTACTGGAATATGCTGAAAACATTTTGGTGAAGAGACCCAGCTCTTTCCTTCAGAAAAACGTACCTCATGGGCTTGTCTTAGAGTTGTGTGGCTTTCTGCCTTGGTTTGAAAGCCACAGAAATACATTCCCCCAAGCAGCTGTGGAATAATAAGAGTTGGGCAATTAGATTTTGATACTTTGCTTGTTAAGAATGCCCTTCCTTTATTATTATTATTATTTTGTCTGGGAGCAGCTCATTACTACTAGGATATATCTTACTTTATAAAGATATTTTTTTTAAAGTTTTAAGAATTTGCTTTGGCTTTAGTTTTCGACCTCTGCTTTTATAGCTCACTGAATGGGGTGCGATTCTCACAAGAAGTGGCAGAATCTTGTTAACGTGATCCTCGTCCTGACACATCAGTGAACTCCGACAAATGCACCACTGGAAGCACCCCCAGTGGTCTCTCAAGACTAAGGACACTTTGCCTCAGGCACTGTTTCCAATCTTTAATCCTTGGAGAATTACCTTCAGAATTGATCTCATGTGTTCCACCTCTGCATTACTTTAGGGCCTTTTTTTAAAATCAAGTTACTTTCTCTTAAATGTAATAAAAAAAAAAACTTGATGTTCCTCCCGTGAATGGAAAACCAATATAAATCGCCACAGATATGATGCTATCTGTAAGAAATTAATAAAATGAAGTAAACATTTCATTTTAAATATTCTTCCTTTGGAGGTTCTGAGTCTGAGAAAGGAAAGGTAGCATGTGTTACAGTGTAGCAAGCGCTAGTTACATGTTCATACAATCAAAAGAATTGGAAGAGACCTACCTTTTGAAATGATATTGCTGGGTCTATTGCCCTGTAAACTTTTGAACTGTCAAATTTGAGGACGCATTGGCCAGTGGGAAATGATTTTAAAAGAGGTAGTAAAAATATTTGATGAGCATCTACTGTGTACCAGGTGCTAATAAGAGATGAGCACTGCTCTTAAGGAGCCTTACTAGAGATGTAAGATGAATATTTATGAAAAAGTCTACATTAGAACTAAATAAACTGTTCAATAAGCAAGAAAATGGTGCCTCTGAATTGTCTCTGCTCATCATTTCTTACTGCCTAGATATGGTTTAGTCATAGGTTCAACAAGGTCTTTGAAGCTTATTCTCTTGAGGCAAAAATTGTTGGTGATGTTGAAAATTGTCTGAAAAAGAATAACAAAACTATGAAATTGCTTTGTTTTGATTTTGTAAAAGTAATCCAAGACCTGTCATAAAATATATCTCAATTTCAGTGAGATTCTTCTACCCCCCACCCTGTGTGAAATAACACAGTCTTTTATTTTATTGATTTCAGAGAGGAAGGGAGAAGGGGCAAAAAACATAGAAGCATCAATCATGAGAGAGAATCATTGATTGGCTGTCTCCTACATGGCCCCTACTGGGGATCGAGCCCACAATCTGGGCATGTGCCATGACCAAGAATCAAACCAAGACCTGGTTCATAGGTTGAAGCTCAACCACAGCCATGGTGACCAGGCGATCTTTTTTGGGGGGAGGGAGGGAGGGAGAGAGAAACATTGATGTGAGAGAGAGACATCAATTGGTTGTCTCCTGCATGCCCCTGACTGGGGCCCAGCATGGGACCTGCAGCTCGCTACTGCCCTTGACCAGGAATTGATGTTCTAATCACTGAATCAAACCAGCCAGGGCCAGTCATTTTATTTCTAAAAGTAGGTTGAACCAGGCCATCATTCTTCATGATGGGGAGTAACAACTTGGGTTGCACAAAGGAATGCCTTTATAGTTCCTGAGATAACAGGAAAAAATTGCAAGCTTCCTCATTGGGAACTAACATTTACATTATTTCTGAGGTTGGGGTCATATGTCGATGAGGTGGGGATGCCCAAATTAATGCAGAGGTCTGTGACATAAGAATGGCCAATAAAGGGTACCTTTCTTTAAAAACAGGTTTAGTACACATGACAGTCGATGCTATCCAAGCAAAAGATATTTTAGGAATGGCAGCCTAATTATAATTTCATGCATTCATGTTACTGGCCTGTATGATTTCATTGGGTTTTTATGGAATTAATACAGTTGCTAAGGGGGAAATAATACAATGTAATGAGCAAAGTGCCCATTCAGGAGTACATATTGCCGAAACCAGTTTGGCTCAATGGATAGAGCATCGGGCTGTGGACTCAGGGGTCCCGGGTTCAATTCTGGTCAGGGGCACATACCTTGGTTGCAGGCACGTCCCCAGTGGGGGGCGTGCAAGAGGCAGCTGGTTGATGTTTCTCATCAATGTTTCTAGCTTTCTATCCCTCTCCCTCTCTGTGAAAAATTAATAAAATATATATTTTTTAAAAGTACATATCATTAGTATTAAGTCCAAAATAAGAATTTTGGACCATAAATTTCCACTGCCTGATGATCTGGCATGGTCTGTTCATCACAAGTGTAGGCAGTAGTGATTACACAGGCACAGTTGAGTGAATTTTAGAACTAACAAAAGTAGAAGAGCCTTTTAACATTTTACTTTATTTTTTTAATATATTTTATTGATTTTGTACAGAGAGGAAGGGAGAGAGATAGAGAGTTAGAAACATTGATGAGAGAGAGTCATCGATCAGCTGCCTCTTGCACACTCCCTACTGGGGATATGCCCACAACCAAGGTACATGCCCTTAACCAGAATTGAACCCGGGACCTTTCAGACCCCAAGCTGACGCTCTATCCATTGAGCCAAACCGGTTTTGGCTTAACACTTTATTACAAGAGCTTGCTTGAGGGGCTCAATAAATGGATGGGCCTGGGGGGAAAAAATTCATGGGTATGGCTTTGCACTGATGGCTCTGGTAATTGAGAAAGTATTGGGCCACTTTCCTATATCTTATTATAAGGACACTGAAGTCTATCAAAGTAGTGTTTTTGCAATCGGACTTAAAAGTCTCTGTACCTTCTCTCAATACACTGATGAGTGCATACTTTATATAGAGAAGAGCTTAGAATTTAGTTTTGTGAGCAGTATGAAGGGATAGGAGGCAGTCCATTCTCACAGGGTTGGCACTCAGAATTAGTGAGATGATAAACATTTTAGAGCATTGAAAAAGTGGTTCGGCAAGCTTGACATCTTTTTTCTTAGATATGAAATTCACAGATGAGCCATTAACCGTTGTAAAGTGGATGATGCAGTGGCATTTGGTACACTCAAAATGCTGTTAACCTTACCACCAATATCTGGTCCAAGACATTTTCCTCCCCTAAAAGGAAGCCCTTACCCATTAGTTGTCAACCTCACCCTCCTCCCCCATTCCCTGACAACCACTAATCTGCTTTCTGTATCAATTTATTCTGGATATTTCATATAAAGGGAATCGTGACACATGACTTTTTCAGTCTGATTTTCACTAAGCATGTTTTTTGAGGTTCCTCCATGTTGTAGCTTTTATCAGTATTTCATTTCTTTTTATGGCTGAATAATATCCCGTTGTACGTATATACTACATTTGTTTTATCCAGTCATCCAATAGTGGACACTTGAGTAGTTTCCACCTTTTGACCATTGTGAAGAGTGTTGCTATTATCGGGACAAGAATCGGTAATTGTTTTCAGTTCTTTTGGGTAAACCCCTAGGAATGGAATTATTGGTTCAAATGCTAATTTTGTGTTTAAATGTTTGAGGAACACCAAATTTTTTCACAACAGCTGCCCATTTTACATTCCCATCAGCAGGGTTCCAATTTCTCCACTTGCTTACCAATACTTAGTTTCCTTTTTCTTTTTTACTCCAGCCATCCTTGTGGGTGTGAAGTGGTAGCTGAGTATGGTTTTGATCTGTATTTCCTTAACTAATGATGGGCATCCCTTCAGGTGCTTGTTGGTCATTTGTTTATCTTTGGAGAAATGTCTATACAAGTTCTTTGCTTTTTTAAATTGGGTTGTCTTTTGTTGAGTTGTATATTAGACACTTATCAAATGTGATTTGCATTTCTCTCCCCCCCCCCCCCCCAGTCTGGGCTATCTTTTCACTCCCTCCCTTAATAGTGCCCTTTGATGCAAAACAGTTTTGTTTCTTTAAGATTTCCCAAATATCAGATCATGTCATCTATGAAAAATGACTGTTTTTACTTGTTCCTTTCCTACATGGATGCCTTTCATATCTTTTTCTTGCCTGATTGCTCTGAATGGAGCTTCCAATACAATGTTGGAATTCTTGTAACATTTCTTTTTAAAGTTGTTCATATCTCAGTAATATTTCTCCTAACTGTAAATTCCATTAAGTTTACATGGAAGGAAAATATTCTAATTCCAACCAATCTACTTGAGCTGTATTCTTTGAATAAAGAACAGAAGAATGCACTAAACGGTTTGGCTCAGTGGATAGAGCGTCGGCCTGCAGACTGAGGGATCCCAGGTTCGATTCTGGTCAAGGGCATGTACCTTGGTTGTGGGCACATCCCCAATAGGAGGTGTGCAGGAGGCAGCTGATCGATGTTTCTAACTTTATTCCTCTCTCTTCCTCTCTGTAAAAAAACCAATTAAAAAAAAGAACATAAAGTAGATAAAATCTTCTTTTGAAATCTACATTTACGAGTCACAGGTCAACAAGTTGTGAACTTAGTGCCTGTAAGGCCCAGGCAATGTGGGTACATGTATCACATCTTTGCTTAGTAACCTGTTCAAAGATACCCACTCAGGACAAATCCTCAGCTTCCTCATGGGAAATGCCTGGGGATTTTGGCTTCTCAGATGCTCACAATGATTTGGGAACATCTCTAAATAAATAGGAGTGAAGATAAATCACAAACACGTCACAAATTTCCCTTATTTGTTGCCATAAAATTCTGTGAAAGAATTTCTCTTTAGAGATAACCCCCAAAGGGCCAATTTACACCTTGTTACTAACCTGAGTAACAAGATGTAAATTGTTTTCTGCAATGGTTCCCATAAGGAAAACTACAGCCTCCTTACAGAGACATAAGTCCCTAATCACTTGTCACTGGAGGACAATTCATCGCAAATGAACTAAGACCACAGTTCCCTTCAGTGTTTTACATACACTTTGTCTAGCTCAGCAATGACAAAACCAGAGGAAGCTAAGGGAATATTCTTGGAGAAAAAACTTGTTGCTAATTCATCAGCTTCAATAAAGCTGAAATATGTCTTCCCCGGGAAAAGGTGTGAGAATAAACATCTTATCTTTTCTATAAAAAACAAACAAACAGTTTAGACAGCCCCATTTTGGCCTGTGTGACTTGGCAGCCACCATGTTGGCCCTATGACTTGCAGCTCCCCTGGGGGTCACTATCTTAAATGGCAAAGGCCAACCCCTCTCCTTGAATGAGCCAATCACGAAAGACTGTGCGCCTGAGCTCCAATCAAGAGATTGGATCCACAGGTTGAGAACCGCTAGCAGGGTCACCTAAAACCATTGGAAAACACAGGTGTTTACGATTCATTAACAGCAGCAAAATTACAGTTAGGAAGTAGCAACGAAAATAATTTTATGGGGTCACCACAACATGAGGTGCTGTGTTAAAGAGTCTTGGCATTAGAAAGGTTGAGAAACACTGCTATAGAGCTTTAGCTTTTTGCTGGCTATAGACCAGAAGCCACCCTAAATTCCTTGCCATCTGGGTCTCTCCTATATGGCAGCTTGCTTTATCAACATATGCAAGCTAGAAAGGCAAGAGCCCAGCGAGATTAAAGGCATAGTTTTTTGTGACCCAACCAGGAAAGTGACATCACTTTCATTAGCAGCAAGTCTCTAGGTCTAGCCCACACTCAAGGGGATATTATAAAAGTGTAAATTCTAGGAGGTGGGGAACTTTGGTGGCCATCTTTGAAAAGTGCCTGTCACACAATACTATAGTACTATAAATCTAGATATAAATGCTATTCTTATAAACTATCAGATTCTTTTTTTTTTTAGTATATATTTTTTAATTGACTTAAGAGAGGAAGGGCAAGGGAGAGAGAGAACTATCAGTGATGAGAGAGAATCGATTGGCTGTCTTCTGCATGCCCCCTATTGGGGATGGCGCCAGCAACCCTGGCATATGCCCTTGACCTGA